CGAAGCGACCGCCGTGTCGTTGTAGCACCACCCTGGCCCACTTTTCTAGGCTCATGTTCCTCGACGCTATGAGACCCCGCGCCGTGGCCGCGTGCGTGCCTCCTCCTGTCCCTTCTTCCTCGACACGCTCTTCCGCCTGTCGCGGGCCTCCGCCTCCCGTCGGAAACAACGTCGGAAAGGCCTTAGCGAAGAACCGCGCGTCCAACGAGTCGGCAAAGTCCTCCCCGCGGGATACTCCGATATACGGCTCGGACGCTCCTCCAGCCCGCCGCCCCTCGCTTGGTCCCACCCAGGTTGCGCCGATCGACTCGTTCCCGCCAGCGGCCCGACGACCCAGCGCGTCGCAGACGTACCGCAGCTTCTCAGCATCGGCAACATCCGGTCCCACGTCGAGAGCGAACATCCCAGACGAACTGATCTCGTGGATCGCAGCCACTGCACTCTCCGGCTCTACCGCCGCCTCCTCGCCCCCGTTTTCGCCCTCCGAGTCTGCTCCCCCGCCTACACACGCCTCGCCGCCGCCTCCGACATCGAACCCCCGCTCTAGCGCTGCAAGAACCTCTCGGACATCCCTCGATTCCCCTGCTTCTAGGCCGCGCTCCGTAAGTGGTACGACCTGCCCCGTTCGCGCCTTTTCCCACGCCGACGGCTCGTTCCGCTCCAAACGCGAGTAGACTTGAGGGGGCACACCGTGCGGCGGCGCTTTCCAAGTGTCCATTTCGGCCGTATCGATGTGGATCTTCGCATATAGCGGGTTATTCCTTTTCAGCCACACCAGCGCCCTTTCAACGACACGGCGCCTCACCGACAAAAGTGCCGATAGGTCACGCGGTGCCGGTTTCTCCCGCCCCTGCCAAGAGACATGGATCTCATCCATCACCTTCAACAGCGGGTGGGGGAGAACATTGCTGACGAGGTCCTGTACGTTATTGGGAAATACTGTAATATGCCCCTTAACGTGCTTCGGATATCTCGCGCTCTGTTTACACCCCTCCGGCAAGCTGTACTTGGTGATGAACCCATAACATGAGTTCAACGCAATGAGCTTCTCCTCAACTGGCGTAAGGCCCTTCAACTCATCCGGGAACATATGCTCGCAACCCAGGCGGCTGTGGAGCTGGCCTGCAGGAGACAACACACCACTCCCCATCTGCTTCAGGCAATCTGTACACCCCGAAACCTTCTCCCCCGCGGGGAAGCATTCGCGACATTTAAAAGGCGAGCCGTCTGACTTCGCGATAAGACTAGCCGTCCACAAATCCCAATCAATTTCTTCCAGCTCGGTCCTGGCGCATTTGCGATAGCAGACCATGCATGTATGTATCGGCAGCGTACGCTTGTCGTGGAACGCTTTGTAAAACTCCTGGACGGTAGACACCTTTCTGCTGTCGGGGATAGCCGCACACCACGCCCCCGCGTGGGACAGTCGCTCCTTCTCGGCAAATTCTTCATCTAAGCTGCGAAGGATGCTGGCAAGATCTCGCCTCTTTTCGTCGTCGCTCCTCTCTAGACGCAGCGCCGTCCGGGCCCGTTTTGACTGCGGCTGACCGACGCTATTCGGACCTCGTCTCTTCCTCGACTCCTGAGGTTCGTTGCCCGGTCTGGAAACACCACCTCCCACATTCGCCCTGCTCTCTCGACCGCCGGTTGGTTGTTGTGGGGGGCATTGCCCAGCACGATCGTCGAGCCACTCCGTCATCGGTACGGTACCCTGGCTTTCGGCTGGGCTCTCTTTCGACGGTCCACCTTTCCGGCTTTGACCGCGACGCCGCCCTTGACTGCGCCTCTCTTCCAACATGACCCGGTCAAAATTAAATTGCGCAGCCTGGAACAGGTCTGCTGGGGTTTGAATGCCGGGACCCGCACGCTCTAGGCTCTCCCGATCGCATGCGTTAGGATGCATCCCTGCCTCGGCCCTTCTGACCTCGTTCTGCGCAGCCTCGAATGCCCGAAATAAGTCCCCCGGCTTAGCAACCGGTTTGTATGCGGACGGATCTTTCCTCGGCCTTCCAGCTTTAACCCGCTGGCGGTTTTTATCCGCCCCGACCTGTTCGTCACCCGTATGTCCCGTGTTCCGCCGGGCCTGCCTCTCCGTCCTAGCCGCTTCATGCTGCCTTTGGCCCTCTTCGAAGATGTCAGCGGACGTCCGGATATTTAATCCGGCGTACGCCACGTTCTCGCGATTGCGCGCGTCGAGGCGATGGAATCGGTTGAGTGGACTCTCCGTCTCCTTTCTCGGCCCCTGAGGTGGCTGGCTCGG